GTTCATAATTATTATTGCATATCAAAAGTCATAACATTAATTAATTGTTTGTTTTTTTAAATAAAATAAAATAACACACTTGATAAAACAGTAACATGTAAAATCAATACCTTCTTTTAGCTGGAAACCTCCACTAAAGTATTGCAGTAAGTTGATTCCAAGCATAGCTTGGTAAAAAATAAATTGCTTCTTCCAGAGCTGCAGATCTGCATCTGAGCATGCGCGACCACACCCAAATTTTGGAGCACATGGCAAGCTTCTTTAATTAACAAAATGGCGGCATGTAGCTAAGATGGCTCGATCCAGCAGTCACAGTATCACTTTTTCCTTACTTGAAGAATGATCTGATGGGACATGGACCTGCGCATAGACTGTTGGAGTAGATTGGTGTAAGAATTATTCTTGTAGCACCAACTGATACTGAGATACACACCGACAACTGGATTGACAGGACTTGATGATGAAGAAGATGATGATGAAGATGAAAAAAGGTGGCTGAACAAAACGGCCGGTTCGCCGATTTTTGACTTTTCGCTTAGACAAGGTCTAGAGCCACGCTAGTTGTACCATTGGAGTCCTCTGGTCAAGATAAGGTCCTCTATAAAGTCTGGTAAGCATAGGAGCTCGTTTTCCAGGTATAGCAAGGCTGCAAAAGTCGTGGCAGCCATTTTGTTTGGGGGTGAATCCTACTTAGTAACGCTACCGCGTTACTAATAGTACAGTCATTGGCCAAATCTTGCTGAAAATGAAAAGAAGAGAATTCTCCATTTTTACAATTTTTATCTGATGCATATACATGTACATGTTATCAATAATTACATTATATCTTCATGTGTCATAATTATGTCCATTATATTAATTGATAGATCAGTAATTATGTTCATAATGATCCTGCTCCTTTAATGAGAGGAGTCACCATTGATAGTGAAGATAAACTAATCATTGGAAATGAAAATGGAGAACTTATACTACTGGACTTAAGACATATCAAGTAAGAGAAAGAGAGAGGGAGGGAGGGAGGGATGGAGGGGGAGAGGTCCAGTAGATAATGCTTCCAGTGAACTGTATTGTATGTTTATACAGGTCACCATTAAAGACAATAAGATTATCATCATCACCAATATGTTCACTGTGCTATAATAATAATAAAGTATTAGTAGGACACAGTAAGTAACACATACTCCCTCCTCCTCTTTTCTTTTCTAATTTCTTTTATAGTTTACGTATTTTATTCTTTCTTATTTTTACTGCAGAGAATGGGGTGTGCATTAATTGGAGTTATAATGATGACACATTACTCAATGATCATATAACTGGTACTGATATTGATCCAATAAGTTCAATAGTGAGAAGACATCATGTGACATACACTAGTTCTAGGGATGGACGTGTACGTATGTATGAGAACAGTTGAATACTTATTGGGACAGAATTGTTCTCATTGTATATGAAGATTTAAGTGTACGATAAAATTTTGTAAACAAAATATTTATTATAATTATGTACTATTACAATTTAAAGTGTTGCTATTAAATTAATACTCAATCCATCTCTAATAATTAAACTAAAAGTATTCACTAATATTAAGCATCATAATTTAATCTATTATCACCATTGGTAGTGGTTTGTGTGGTTGTTTCTCTTTGTACCTATCAATCAATGTCTTCTTTTGATCTTTAAAGGTATCCCTCAGGAGACTATCAGGGCCATACAATTTAATGTATTCAAGTGATGGGTGTGTGAAGATAGCTTCAAATAAATGTTGTACCATTTCTATCCGCTCAGGATTAGGTGGCCCCTGATAAAATGCATCACAACTTATCCTCAGTAGTCTGATGGTTGTATGTGACTGTAACATGCTAGTAATAGCAGGTAGTACCTGTTCATAAAATGGAGTATCATGATCTTTTTCCAAGTGCATAATAAGTTCTGTGAGATTGTTCTTTTGAGAGATGACATCAAAAAATGTTATGTCAGTCATTGGAATCTCAACATGCAATTGCTGTAGACTGGTATTGTGACTGATACCATTTGTTAGGAAGGGCAAGAGTGAACTGGTAAGGGGATCAGTAATTTCAAAATATTTCAATGATTGGTTCTTTGTTAGCATCTCTTGTAGACTATTACCCACACTGCTGATATCTTGACTGGTATAGCTATAAGGAAACATTTTGGATACTTTTAGAGCTTTAAGTGTAGTATCGGTTTGTAGAATAGTAAATAGTTCAATAGCACTCTTAGCTGTGTTTATTGTTAAAGTAAGTGTATGTAGACTGGGAGGGGAGAGAAATAGAAGATGTGGTGGGTATGGTACACAATGTAGTATCAGACAGTGTAATCCTTTGACATGTGGAAGGAGTGATGTCACTAGTTTATTGTTAGAATTTGGTCCTATCTTTAGAGCAGTCAGTGGTGTGTTGACCTCTACTATATTCAATGATGATGGTTGAGAATGGTTTGGTATGTCCAGTGAAAGAGCTGTTAATGTGTCATTGTCCTTCAATAACTGCCCTATTACTCCATCAAGTAAAGAAAAGGAAAAAAAAACATTTAGTGTCAGTGAAGTTATTGTTTTATTCCTTGTTACTCCTTTAATAACACTGACAATGGCAATTTCATCCTGTCTACCAAAATCTAAAAAATCTAACTTCATTTCTTCTAGTGTTGAATTGTTTTCTATACATTTCTCAAGTTCAGTGCACTTGTCTGTGGGATCTTCTATTAGTACACTGGTACTTATCACTCTTATGTGGAGCAACTTCAATTGAGGAAGATTGAGAAATTTTAGCAAAACATAACAGGCATCAAAATGACCATTATATAAACAGTAGCACTCTTGAATATTACATAGAAGTGATGGTTGTAAAATATTCTGTAGCAGTTCATCATTGTGCTGAGGTAATTTTACCTCAAGTCTCTTACACTGGGTCTCTAGTGAGTTATTGGTTAGTCCAGCAGTAAAGACTGATAGTGACTGGTAGGATACATGCCCAAGGTGCAAGTGATTCCATGTTGTATTGGAATTTTTTATACAATAACTGAAACACAACCAGTCAAACAATGATAATGATAAGCTTACCCTATCAAGACACAGTGAGTGTGAGTTGTTGATGGATTGTGCTAATATTTGACATAATTTTGTGCTCTGTGACTCATACAAGAGTTGAAGAAGAAGAATGGGAACATTGTCAAAATCATCAGAACTGACATGATCAAAATTTACAGTAATATCTGGGTTCCAATAAAAGTAGGAGAAATGACAAGTCTCAAATCCAAACAATGGTTCCCTCTTACACTGTAAGTCAAGTTGTTGTATATTAAAATACTGTTGATAGCTCTCATGTTCAAGGTGAGTTAGACCTGCCACAAACCTCAGACACATTCGAAAGTGATCATCATCAAAGTGATTCTTAAACACTTCCTCTGTCTTCTCCTCATACTTAGCTATCCACCATGCAGCTAGAAATTCCTGTATACTCAAGTGAAGGAACTGATACTTCTCCTCATCATATTCTGTGAATGTTTTCATCAATCCAAGATAGTCTTCCTTGGCTGCCTCACTCAGTGACTGTACTTCATGTGAAGAGAATGTCATTCTTGTATTAGACAGGTTAGTATAAGCTAATTGACACATCTCTTGTAAAGGTTTAGCTAACTGCAATGGTAATGAAGAAAGATTACCTGCATGTGGGTCAATATCATGTCTTTTAACATGTCTTCTGATAGTTTGTAGGATAAAGTTCTCATACAGTTGAGTGAGTGTTGTTGGTAAGTGTCCTCCTTCCTTACAATAAACTAAGATGACCATGGAACAGACTAGTGGAATATAACACAATGATTGGACATCATTTCGTACTTTAAGATCATTAATGAGTTTCACTGCTAGATTTGAGTTCTCACTACTATGAGTAGTTGTAAAGAATTTGTAATACATGCATCTATTTTCATCAATGAGTTCTTGTGCTAGTTTGGTATCTTTTTGAAGTGTTTGTATAATTACTGTTGATATTTCTGTCTCAGAAAACCCAATAACCTGAACATGTCTACTGAGATTAGACATGATCTTCAAAAGTGAAAAGGAGGCATAGCTACGAGAGGTAACAATTACTGAACATTGATCTAACTTCTCTCTACAAATGATACTAGCAGCTAATGAAGACTGTCTGAGTTGTTCACTTAGTTCATCCCAACCATCAAAGATTATCAGTAATCCTTCTCCGTCTCTCTTCTCAAACCATTCAGGTACATTTTTATATTTATTAAGTTGATGCACAAACAGACCAGCTAATGTGGTAGCTGTAGCTATCTTGCTATTCCTTAAAGGACAATAAAGTACCAAATTATACTGCTGGTGTAAAATTTTTCTCCTTGACCACATGTTTAACAGTTTACTACAGAGTGTTGTCTTGCCAATACCAGGAGGGCCGTCTATTACTACTCTGAGAGACAAAGAATTATCAGTGGGTTGGAGGATATCTTCAACACTAATTTTTTTGTAATCAGTTAGTTTAACTGTTTCATCAACTTGACCTCTTAGCAGATGCCAAGGTGATTCTGCTTGTGTGCTGGAGTCTTGTTTCTCTACTAGTGCTAGTCTTCCAAAGAAATCTTTTCCAATTTCTGGTGGCCAGTCTATAGTAGTGACAGTTTGGCGTTTGTAGTATTGTTTCATAATGTCAGCATATCCATAAACAAAATATATTAAAGCAGCTTCAGGTGCATCAGACAGACCTATTGATTATAAATATATGTGTGAAAATTAATGTTAAAATATCTAAGTAGATTTACCTGTTATATTAGTAACTGGTGTATTAGATACATCATGAAGTGGTGATGGTAGTAAAGTACTTGAAATGCTTTTGTCAGGTACAGACTGACCTAATGTATTGAGATGACTGTTATTGATGATTCATAATGTACACACACACATAATTTCTGGGGATTACATTTGATATTCATTTAATTTCATTGGGAAGTGGGAACATTAACTAATATCAATTCTTGCCTATATATGCCAGGAGGTTGGTTTTTGCTTTGCCCAGCTGTTCAGGAAAGTCTTCACAAAGTTTTATTAATGCATCCCAATTGACATCTCTATCAGCATCAAACCACTTCTGGAATACCATAATAAGATTGGTTTCTGCTTTGCCTGGTATTTGGATCAGATCAGCCACATTTACATTCAATCCAGCCCCTATTAGCATGTAATGGTGAGCAAAAGGAACAAATATTTTAGTGACTGCTGCCATATTAAGCTCCTTT